TCTCTATATATATATATATATATATATATATATATATATATATATATATATATATATATATATATATTTCACATGTAAAACATGCATTTTCGCATATCAAACTTGTAATTTTTTTTCCTTAAAAACTACTTCGTATGGTGAAAATGAGAATTCATGATTATTTAAAAAAAAATTATTTTTTTTCTTAAATCTTGGAAATCGGCAAATGAGATTATTTTGATTTATCATTATCTTAATATATCATGACTATATTTGAAAAACTTATAGAACAATATATATATATTTTTTACACATTAGTCTACATCCTTTTCTAAAATTTGGTTCTTTTTCATTGAGAATCAACTTCTTTTTTCAAAATTTTTAAAACTTTTATAGTTGTTATTGGCACCACCATATAATAGTTATTCTAAAATGTACTTAGACTTAACAACATCCTAAAACAAACCATGAAATCATCAATAAACTATTTTAATAGCCTAATCAACTACCACGCTACAGTAAAATCTTATAAGCATCAAGCACAATCTTAAAGGTCAATATTGCAAAGCAGATTGTAGATATTTTATTTGTTAATTTATGTTGCTAAAACAAAAATATGGTATATGAATTATGACTATATGTATATTATTTTATGATCAATGATCAATTCAGTTTGACTAATTTATGGTCCATGATTAAATAATATTAATTACTTTTTATAGTTTTAAACTTCTAATAAGAAATTGAAATAAGTTCTTAATAATGATCGAGGACCACTTTTATTTTATTTTTTCTCGTCAAATTGTTAATTTGATCGAATTTAAAGTAAAAACCTGAACCCTAACCGATTGTCACTCAAACTCGCCGGAAAGAATGGTGTACACGGCGGTCACAGTCAAGTGAAAGAAGAAAGGAAGATTTCTTTATTGTCTGGATTTAACCTGGCAACATCTATTGTCGTCATTGTTTTCAGAAATTCCAAACCAAAAGCCCTGAATTTCTTCTTCCTTCCCCATTCCTCCGCCTGCTGCCCCCGGTTACTAGTTCACCACTCCGAATCACCTTAACAACTCCCCTTCTTCGGCAATTCAACTAACAGATAGAAGTGGGCTAACAGTTGGTTGCTCTCCGTTTTGTAGAAAGTATTGTAGCCATAAATTGAAACCAATATTCGTTGGTTCCACTGTCTGGCTCTCTCGATTCTCATTTATCCTCTCGTCGAATAAGTCAACAAGGTATAACCATTTTCATGCGTTGATGCTTTTCGTTTTAGTCAACCTGTTCAAGTTTTGTGCCTTTTCATATTGAAACTTGATATGGATTTTGCTTTTAAACTTTATAGAGCTAATGGTTGTTAAAAGAAATTCTACAGCTGTTTTAATTCATTTATCAAAAACCACAATCACCCATATGTGCAAGCATCGAATCTGCAAACAAAACTAGTTATCCTTTTTAAAAGCCAAAACCCTATATACTCATATTATCGCAGCCCCAGTTTCTTCCTACTTTGTCAATGGACTCTGGAAGTTCTCAACTTTAGCAACTGAATTAAGTATTACAACATCATTACGGCTCTATTTTCTACAGTTGATAGCTGAATCTTGAAAGTTAAAAGTTTGAAAGGTAAGTAGATTTGAAGCCCTATTAATCGTGAATTTTGTATTGTGTACTTTGATTTGGTAAATTGTGTGAGTGTTTCGTATGAGGTGTCAAAAGATAGTAGAAGTTGTATTTTACTGTATAGGATCTGTTTATGTTTGGAATATAATCATATCTGCACCAATGATACTTGTTATGTGATTTCTTAGTTACAGTTTCCTGGTTACATTCAACTTTGTAGCAGATAAACTTCTCTTAGTCAGAGTTGGAACCTTATACTTTTGATCAAAATCTATCTGTGAAAGCAAAGATGAAGGTTGTAGGGTTAGTCAGTGGTGGCAAAGACAGCTGCTTTGCAATGATGAAGTGTCTCCAATATGGCCATGAGGTAAGATTGCTTAATAACCACTTTATATCCACATGAAGGAAGCAGTTAGTTATTAGTGTCTATGTTGTTATGACAACATACAACATGGAGTGAATTTTACTTAAACATGTGATGCTTCTACTGTAGGTTGTTGCATTGGCAAACTTATTGCCTGCTAACGATTCTGTGGATGAGCTTGATAGCTACATGTATCAAACTGTAAGCCTCTCTATTTCATAAAACACAAGAACAATTCATGATAATATGATTAGTTAGTATATGTGCTAAACTAATTTCTTGGTGTTTGTTTTACTTTTACATACTTGATATGTCTCAGGTTGGTCATCAGATTGTTGTAAGTTATGCGAATTGCATGGGAGTGCCTTTGTTTAGAAGAAGAATACAAGGATCCACCAGGCAAGCTATTTAATCACAACTCTTCTAAAAGATTAATTTTTTAAAATTTAAAAATCTTTGTACATATATATATATATATATATATATATATATATATATATATATATATATATATATAGGCGTCATGACCTTAGCTACAACATGACTACTGGTGATGAAGTAGAAGACATGTTTATTTTGTTAAAAGAAGTCAAAAAGCAGATTCCTTCTGTTACAGCAGTCTCATCTGGTGCAATTGCTTCTGACTATCAAAGATTACGGGTAGAAAATGTTTGTTCAAGATTAGGGCTCATATCTCTTGCATATTTATGGAAGTTGGATCAATCATTGCTCCTACAGCAAATGGTACATTACATTGATTAAGTTATATTATTATTATTATATTCAATCACAATCTCTTCAAATGTTCTTCACCTCTACTAAACATTCATTTTCTTTTGTGGGCCCAACCAGATTGAAACTGGGATTGTTGCCATTACAGTAAAGGTTGCAGCTATTGGTTTAGATCCTTCAAAGCACTTGGGAAAAGAAATGTCATACCTATGGTCACACCTTCTTAAGTTAAATGAGTACGTTTTTTTTATTCACATAAACAAGTTTCATTTTTTACTTTTCTTTGTCAACTAAGTTTTTTCTTGGCAGGTTATATGGAAGTAACGTATGTGGTGAAGGAGGAGAATATGAAACATTGACACTTGATTGTCCCCTGTTTAAAGTAAGTCTTTTTCTCTTAAACTGCAAAATAGAACCTTAATTGTTCTCATGTTTTTGTTTTCACGTTTTGATTTATTCCAGTATGCTCGAATTGTTCTAGATGAATTCCAACTTGTACTTCATGATTCAAATTCCATAGCTCCTGTGGGAATCCTTCACCCCGTGTCATTCCATTGTGAAGATAAACCAAAATCTGATTCTGTGAGTGACACCAACAGAAGTAACGGTTTCTGTTTGGAGAATATGGGGTCTGTAGTTGAAGTACAAAGTGAATCTCTAGAAACAGTGGAAAACAAATGTCATCCATCTCATTCTCATGTTCCCTTGGATTTATCTCAACTTGAAACACGTAAACTTCATACTTCAAGAACTAGAAAAGACAACACTTTCTCCATATCCTGTTGGCTGCAAGACTCAGAAACTTCAGTAGGTAAGTTATAATGAAAATTATGAAGTTTTATTTTATATGTTGAATGTATTTTATATTGTTCACGTCTGTTAATGTTATGACAGATCTTAAGGAGGATCTGAAGATGATTTTAGTGAAGGTTGAATCAGAGCTTAATGAAGCTGGGTTTTCATGGGAGAATGTGGTTTACATTCATCTGTACATCTCAGATATGAACATGTTTGGTATTGCAAATGAAACGTATGTAGATTTTATAACTCAAGAAAAATGTCGATTCGGTGTCCCATCCCGTAGTACAATTGAGCTTCCTTTGTCAGAAGCTGGTCTAGGAAGGGCATATGTGGAAATTCTGGTAACAAATGATCAAAGTAAAAAAGTTCTTCATGTGCAAAGCATCTCTTCGTGGGCCCCTAGTTGTATCGGACCATATAGCCAGGTAATAACAAATCAATCAAATCAAATGTAATGTCTGACAATTAATCAAATTTCTAAAATTGTGTAGGCGACATTGCATAAAGAGATACTCCACATGGCTGGTCAATTAGGGTTTGACCCTCCAACCATGACATTATGTGGCGGGGGCCCCACTGGTGAATTAGAACAAGCTCTTGTAAATAGTGAAGCTATTGCAAAATCATTCAACTGTTCAATAATGACATCAGCCATACTGTTTGTCATTTACTGTTCCAAGTCTACTTCAAAATTGGACAGAATCAGTCTCCAAGAAAAGCAAAAATCCTTCCTTAATCAGACAAAGCGATTGCTCAATCCGGTTTTCTTGTATGTTCTTGTCCCTGATCTCCCAAAAAGGTACGCGAATTTACAAAAAAACCCCTTCTACTTTCATCATTATATCGATTTCAGCCATTTTATTATGTTATTGTGATGTTGTTGTAGAGCTTTTGTGGAAGTGAAGCCCATGCTCTTTGTTGAGGATAATAATAATACTGAAACTGAGGAAGTTGTTAATGATCTGAAATATGAAGAGAATCATTTTGATTCATGTTTTAAACCAGAAAAATGGCATGATGAATGTGTTCACAAGTGTCTTGTACATGACAGAATATGTGCAGTTGTTTTATCCATTACAACTGAAATTTTTAACACCTGTTTTAATGTTGACAATGCTGAGGAGAAAATGGGACAAGTTGCAAAATTTTGCATATATCGTCTTGATAAAGTCCTCTCACAGAACTACTACTCTTGGGATGATGTAATGGTTAGTGTCTGTATGTATGTATGTATGTATGTATGTATGTATGTATGTGATTCTTATACAAGATTGCTTACTTTGGTTTGCAGAATTTGAGAATTTACTTTCCAACAAGTTCCAACATTTCCCATGAAAAGTTATCACTCATCTTCAAAACTAGATTTGATGAATTTGCTGAAACAACAAAAAGGTTGAAGGTTTGTGATGAACCCATCTTCAATATTGTGCCTGTGATTGGGGCAGGGAGTTGTGCAACTTCCATGGATGATATAATCACATGTGAGCTACTTGCTAGAAAATCTTGATAGATATTATGATATGCTATATCAATTTTCTTTTTGTTCTATATGAAGGGGAGAATTATAGCTATTGTGAGGGTTATTTATGTGAAAATTCACATTTTATAATTACTAGAAGTAATGTAATGTGTGGTATTTTAAGGTTGGAAAATGTTACCACGAACACCAAAAGATCCACGGATTATCTGGTTGTAGATTGATTGGTGAGTAGTTGAAATTGTGGCGTTTATCACATTTTTGTTTGATAATTGAAAAAAATTCTTAATTGTATGTATATCATTGTTTGATGAGGCGTGTTTTATATTTGATTATAATAAGATATATTGTTTCTTTTGGAAACTAAGGTAAATATCTTGAACAATAAAAAGAATATAATCCCTAAATATTTTAGGGATACAAATTATTCAACTGCACCTACTTATTTATTTGTGTAACATATGGTTCATTTATACGCAATAGTCAATACAATAATCTATTATATATAGTAATTTGAATGACTTGTTACCTAAATTTGTTCGTTGTATCAAATCATTCATCACATATGGATTGGACTAGCGATAAGCTTTTTAACTAAAAAACTGAAACCATAACCGGTTGGAATCAATTATTAGTATTTGGTCCCGTTTTTTTGGTTTTTAGTATAATACTAGGTTAAACAATTATTAGTATTTGGTCCCGTTTTTTTGGTTTTTAGTATAATACTAGGTTAAAACCCGTGGAACCCACGAGTGTTAATTTTAAATATAATTAAAAATTTAATTAATTATGTAATAAGTAATATATCATTAATTTAGAAAACTTATGAACTGTAATATTGTATTTTTGTAATAACTTTCTGAGTTGTAAGTATTTAATTACACTGTAAATTGTAAGTATTTAATTACAAATTGAGATTTTTAAAACCTTTACTTTTGGTGCATGATTCTCATTGAACATACAAAGATGATGACACAACCACAACCGTGCAATGGTGTTGTTTTTCTTAGGATATGTTCTCTATTTTTAGTAACTTTGTAAATTTTAAGTATTTAATTAAAAATATAAATCCACCTATTTTATAAAAGTCATGACTTTATATAATGTAACATATGTTTGAGTAATGACAAAAAAACCCAAAAAAACATTGAAATTGATTTGATACAAAAAAAAAACATGACTGTAATGAAATTAACATAAAAAAAAATATAATACGTAATTATAAATAAATAAATTAGTATGATGGATGAAATGTGATTTGATTAAAATGATAAAAAGATGCTACAAAAAAGTTGGTTATAAATTGCGAAAAGCTTCCTTATAAACAACATTGGAAGTTTTATTTGTGAGTTTACCATCTTTATCTAAAATTAATAATTTTAATCTATCTCTGCTTTGAACTCTAGATAGAGCAACATACAATTGCCCATGTGAAAAAACTGGATTTTTGAGAAACAAACCAACATTCGATAACGATTGTCCTTGACTCTTATTAATAGTCATTACAAAACATACAGCCAAAGGAAGCTGTCTTCTTGTGAATTTGAAGGAAATTTTTTTTTCTGATGGACTTAAAGACATTCTTGGAATAAAAGTCTGGTTTCCAATATTAGTTCCAGATATTATACGTGTCTCAATAATACGTTTGCCTAATGATATCACATGTAGTCTTGTGCCATTATATAAGCCGTTTTTCTGTCAAAATACTTTCCAGACTAAAGAAATTTCAATCGGCACATACGAACCATGATTAACAAAATGGTGTAATTTCAATGTCCAACATTTTTATCCCAAATAAAATTTTTTAAAAAATACAATCCCCTAATGTAAGAGTAATGCAACATTGTCATAACAACATTGTCATAACTAAAAAGAACTACAAAAAATAATTGTATACAATTAATGGTCTCATTTAATATTTTGTTGATAAAAAAAGTTTACAAAAAGATCAAAATATTATTTCCTATTAAAATACATGTTTAAATATAAGAGAAAGTTACAAAAACTTGTCCTTAAAATATAATGAAATAGTATAAATTTTCCCAAAATAAAGATACAAAGAGGTTAAAATTCAAAAAACCAAAATAACCTTATAAAAATGAAAATCGCAGCATTAATTATATGTAGCAAACAAATCCTGTCAAAATACTTTCCAGACTAAAGAAATTTCAATCGGCACATACGAACCATGATTAAAGAAAATAAATCATTAATCTGAAGTATTTCGTATTGTAGTAGTTGATGACCAGGTTTTTAAATGCTATATCCTCTACAACTAAACCAAATAGCAACTTGATTTATTGAATCCCTTATGTTAAAACATAGTAAACAGATAAAATTAAGAAGGATTGAAGAAGATTAACAAATACAATAAACAAATAAATCTGAGAAGGATTGAAGAACACACCTTTTTGTTATGAAGATGTCGGTGAAGATTGAAGAAGAATTGAAGAAGAATAGCGTTTGCAAATAAATCTCAGAACCAGATCGTATAGTCGTATAGATGATTAATATATGCGTATGCATATATTTCGACCTGATTATTTGAGATTTAAATTTAAATTTCGAATTTGGTGCATTTCTGTTTTGTGAAGATATTTACTTTCATTTGCCTTAAAAAATAGACGTGAAATTAATTGAAAATTTGTTCATATTTTTAGGTAATTTTCAGGGATTTTCAGGGAAATGATATAAATTGAAGATTGAAGATTGAAAATCGTTACAGGTAATTTTGTAAGGTAATAGATATAATTTATTGTCATTCACATTCCATTTATAAAAACATCACTTGAAATTAATCAATTTCCAATTACAAAAACAAACTTCCATATTTTTTCGGATATTAGCGATTTTGAATTACCGATTTTGAATATTATTTGCATATTTATTGTGTATAGGAATTGAAGGCCATTTTGGTAAAATCAGTTGAATAAAAGAAGCGGGAAAATATGATTATGGGGGGTTTGAAGATTGACACGTGACGAATTAATACTTATTTATTAGATTAGGGGATTTGTGGCAAATGTATGTATTATATTTTTTTGCAGAATTTGACAAATCTCAAGGAACATTTATGAAGTATAACACATACATTTAAGAAAATATAACACATTTACAGAAATATTAATTTATAGAAATAGTACAATTTATGCATAGAATATCTTTCCCAATCGATTAACGTATTTCTCCGTCTAAAAGGCATTTGGGTTGAAAAAAGAATTCAAAAGAAAAAAAAAAGAATTAGCAAATATTAATAGCTATCACTAGTCACGAAGGAAATAAGTAACTTTTAAAACAGTTAAAAAAAACATATGCACAAAGGCAACTGAAAAGTCTTATTTTTGACAACCAAAATTTTCATTTTTAATTTAGGTAAAACATTACATTTATAGAACCCAAGTTAAGAAAACCAATTGTTCCAAGGTATGTTATTTAAAATTAGAGTAGTTTAGTAAACGTGAAGTCTCCGTTGCTGCTGATGAATGTGTACAACCACGCATCCGCCTTCCCACAATCACCGATGGTACCTGAAAACATAAACAACTGGGTTAGCACGAAACTTAATGAGTTCTCCTAAAATACCATACACCACAAAACATATACAAGCATGCATACTGGGTCCATAGTCATCAGACTGGATTACCACAAATTTGTTGGCCTGTTGCCTCAACCCAACCGCTCCTCCCGAGCCTCAGTGCCTACGGCTTACATTCGGCCTACATCTGGTATCTTGGCCTACAACATACAATAGGACCGCCTCAACCTCACCCGCCACAATATGTCGACATATAAACAAACAAGAGATCAAGTAGGCACATAAGTACAAACATCTATCAATCTACATGTCGAATAGTTCGCTAACACATAATAGTCCCCTCACAACACACTGCTTCGCCACCGAAAAATCTCCAAGAACACATAACCATATGTAACCAGAGGTTAGATAGACACTTAAACAAATGATCCTACTCTAGAGCCACAACCAAACAAGGAACAGACAAGAAAGCCTAGATTGTAACGTCTCAAAAATCACAACCAATTTAAACTTTTCAAAACAACCCATATTACTAAAAAGAAGTGTTTACAAGACCATTGTTTCCAAAACATTATTTAAAATCAGAGTCTCCCAAGATCGGTAACATAAAACCAAGGATGTGTACGGTCACGCCTTCGCCTTGCCACGGTCCTCCGAAGTACTTGAAACAAAACTAAAATTGTAAGCTAGCGCTTAGTGAGCTCCCCCCCAAAGTACCACCCCATAAACATAACAAACAACAACATGCTTACAGAGCCTTCATCATGACTGGACCGCCTCACTGGGCCTTCAACTTATCTGGACCGCTCTCCGGGCCTTCAGCCTGAATGGTCCGCCTCACAGGCCTTTAGTCTATCCGGACCGCCCTAGGTATCTTGGCCTTTAGCAAAAAGCAGGACCGCCTCAACCCGATACACCATCACATATCAACATATACCATAACAATCAATAGCTAGCATATAAGGTGGTCATACAGATCTAACAGATCACTACAACATAACAACATCCTATATACCAAGATATATATCTAACAGATCACCACATCACAACAACATACGGTAAAACCAGGATATCAATCCAATGGGCCGACCTTGGTGCCTTCGACCCGTAAGTACAATGAGAAAAACTCACCTCACAGTCTGATGAATAGCTGGTCAATACTCTGCTCCCAAATACCGGGTCAACCCAAAATCTTAAATGTCAAAACATTACCCATTCTATACTAATAACATTTCCCAAAATACCCTTGGTCAAAACTGGTTAAAATCCACAAGTCAACCGAGTCAACACAGCCGAGTCGACTCAGGCTTCATATGCGGGGCGTACAAGCTGTCCGAGGCTTCGGGGCCAGATCTGCATACGCGCAGCGTACCCTTCAGTACGCCCACCGTACGCAGCAGTCCCTGTAACACCCGAAATTTTAAACAATTTCTCACATTTTCAAAAACATACTTTCATTCATAATATTATAAAAATGTCATTGTATCACATATCAATCCATAGAAACACAACCCCAAGATCATAATATATAAAACTCCTCGTGTGTGTACTGATCATGCCAGCGCCTTCCCGCGATCCTCACTGGTACCTGAAACACATAACACAACACTGTAAGCATAAATGCTTAGTGA